CAGCGACTGCCCGTTATGCTTATCGCTCTGAGTTTTGAGCTCCGTCTGCCAGTCGTTGCCACAGTGCGCCCGCGTCGCTCTCCTCCATAGGGCCGCTTCCACTCTCTTCTCAATGTCCTGCCCGCCCAAGGCTCGACCGATGCCGACGTCCATGCGCGACGCGCCTGTCCGGTAACATCCGCCGCTATCTCTTTCGACCTCCTAGCGTCGTCATTGTCAATATTGCTGCTATAGCTCCTGATATTCGTCAGCCAGTCTTTGCCACAGCTCGGCGGCGAACCAGGAGTAGCAGAAAACAGGGGCGTGCCTTCTTGGAAGTCTTTGCAGAAGCCCCCCAACCTTCTGAACAGTTTTCTAAGCGTTCCCCGAAGACAAAGAAAACTTCCCAGAAGGCCTCAAACATTCTGAGACGTCCCGCCGCCTTCTGAGAAGGCTTTCTTCTTCTCATTCCCCCCTCGCTCGCCGCCGAACAGCACGTCCGCGTCGCAGTCCTCCAGAAGGTCGGCTCCCACTCACCTCTTTGGCTCCTCCCTCAGAAAAAAGGCTCGCCAGAGGACGGAGAGCTTGACTTGTTTCTAGGCCAGCAGCATGTCATGGAACGTTTCGGTCACACACTCGTGTGTCTCAGCTGCGGGGCCTACTCAGTTGACCAGGGTCGGAACCCAAAGCTGTTGAACATGTGCCGAGGCCGCGCTTTGAATAACAGTAGCCGTGCAAATGAGGAGCAGGCCATCTTTCGCATCATGCGCGACATTCATCCCCGCACAGGCCAGCCCTTGCCTGTGTGATACCCGAGCCGCGCAGTCTCTGCCGTATCGTTCGTTTGTTCGGTGCGTGTGCTGGGGACGTCGCGTGCTCGGTCGAATTATGCTTTGCGTCGAACGAGCGACATCAAAGCAGTTTCTGTGTTCCTCAAGGTTGGGGGGCGCTCGTCAATCCGGGACGTCCCTTTCACCGCGCGGGACTTCCTCCTCCTCCTCATCCACCTCCTGCTCATCCTCCTCCTCCTCCTCCTCCTCTTCCTCCTCTCCTCCGCTCTACTACTCCTGCTCCTCCTCCTCCTCCTCCACCTCCCCCTCCTCCTCCTCCTCCTCCTCCTCCTCCCCCTCCTCCTCCTCCTCTTCCTCCTCCTCCTCCTCCTCCTCTTCCTCCTCTTCCTCCTCCTCCTCCTCCTCCTCCTCTTCCTCCTCCTCCTCTCCCCCCCCATATGCCTTCTCTTCCCCCTCCTCCCCCACCCCCCCCTCGCCAGGAAAGGGTGGTGTCGTTGGTGGAGGAGCCGGAGGAGGAGGCTGCACAAGGAAGGGCAGCCCCCGCCCAACGAGGCCGCTGCCCGAGGCCGCGCACTCCAGCTGGCTGGCGGCCGAGGCCGCGGCGCGACCAGCGCTGGACGAGCCGGCGCGCGCGAGCGGCGCGGGAGGCGCGGGCGACGGCCCCGCGGCCAAGGCGATGTCGGGTGACCAAGCGCGGCCCCGGAGTCCCGGGTCGTGCTCCTCCCCGTCCTCCTCCTCCTCCTCCTTCTCCTCCTCCTTCCTTCTCCTCCTCCTCCTCCTCCCTCCTCCTCCTCATTCTCCTCCGCCTCCTCCTCCTCCTCCGTCTCCTCCTCCTCCTCCGTCTGCTCCTCCTCATCCTCCTCCTCTCCTCCTCTCCTCCTCCGCCTCCTCCGTCTGCTCCTCCTCCTCCTCCTCCTCCTCTCCTCGTCTCGTCGTCCTCCTCCTCCGCCTCCTCCGCCTCCTCCTCCTCTTCCTCCTCCTCCTCCTCCTCCTCCGCCTCCTCCTCCTCCATTCCTCTCTCTTCCAAATAATTTCTCCCTGTCGCACCCCGAAGCCAGTTGTTAGGGTGCGTCGGGCGTTTCGCCTGATACTTCCTCATTAATGACCTTGAAGCTTAAGAAATGACGACAGCTTCACAGATGGAGGGCGGGTGATTTTCAAAATGTGGTTTTCGCTTTAGCGCCGCGCACATTCATTTTAAACATGTGCAAGAGTTTCGCGGATTGAGGGCGACAGGTTTTCACAATGTGGCTGTCGCCTTAGCGCCGCACGCATTCGTTCTTAACAGTTGCAAGAGTTTCACGGATTCCCATGATCAGCGTACCAGAAATCGTGTTCTGGAAGGACTGAGGATTATGAGGGTGCAACGGTTACATTGATTCGCAGTGTTGAAATCCCAGGGATCGCGTTCTGGCACGATTCAGGATCGTCAACACGCAAAACTCAAGTTGACCCGTGGCGTTGGAATCCCGAGAACAATGTTTTGGCATGCTTCAGAGTCTTCAAACGGTTGTCTTCCAGCGAGGCAGTTCCCTCAGTGGAGATGGCCCGTTGCAGGGGCCTATGATGGGGGAGTTTGGAGGGAGGTTTTATTCCAACATCGCTGATGACTCTTGGGTTTACACTGGTCCTCCTTCTCCTCCTCCCTCTCTTCCTCCTGCCCCTCCTCCTCCGCCTCCTCATCATCATCATCAGCATCATCATCATCATCATCATCATCATCATCATCATCATCATCATCATCATCATCATCATCATCCCCCTCCTCCCCCTCCTCCTCCTTCCCCTCCTCCTCCTTCCCCTCCTCCTCCTCCTCCTCCTCATCGCCATCATTATCTTCTTCATCATCAGCATAATCATCATCACCATCATCATCATCATCATCATCATCATCATCATCATCATCATCACCATCATCATCATCATCATCATCATCATCATCACCAGCATCAGCATCAGCATCAGCATCATCATCATAATCATCAGTTCCACCACTGTCATCAGCAGCATCATCAGCATCAAGCAGCATCATCAGCATCATCAGCATCATAATCGTCATCATCACCATCATCATCACCATCATAATTATCATCATCAACATCATCATTCCCCTTATCCTCCTCCTTCTCCTCCTCCTCCTTCCTTCCTCCTCCTCCTCGTCCTCCTCCTCCTCCGCCTCCTCCTCCTACTTCTCCTCATCCTCCTCCTCTTCCTCCTCTTCCTCCTCATCATCATCATAATCACTATCGGTATCCCCCTCCTCCTCCTCCTCCTCCTCCTCCTCCTCCGCCTCCTCCTCCTTCTTTCCTGGCCCTCCCTCCCCACACCTCCCTACCCCTTGCCATTCCTTGCCGCTCGTCCTCCTCCTCCTCCTCCTTCTTCTCTTCCTCCTCCTTCTCCTTCTCCTTGGGGTAATCCTTGGGTAATCCTTGGGTAATCCTCCTCCTTCTCCTCCTCCTCCTCCTCCTTCTCCTCCTCCTCCTCCACCTCCTCGTCGTCGTGCTACTCCTCCTCCTCCTTATTCTCCCTCCTCCCTCCTCCCTCCACCCTCCTCGTCCTCCTCCTCCTCTTCCTCCTCCTCCTCTTCCTCCTCCTTCTGCCCTCGTCCCCTCGCCCTCGCCCTCTCCTACTATTCCTCCTCCTCCTCGTCCTCCTCCCCATCCTCCTTCTCCTTCTCCTCATCCTTCACATCCTTCTCCTCCTTCTCCTCCTCTTCCTCCTCTTCTTCGTCCTCCTCCTCCTTCCCATCCCCCTCCATCTTCGTCCTTCCATCCTCCTCCTTCCCTCCTCCACCTCCTCCTCCTCCCCCTCCTCCCCACATCTCCTCCTCCTCCCCCCCCCTCCTCGTGATCCTTCTCGTCCTCATCCTCGTCCTCCTCCTCCTCCTTCCCATCCTCCTCCTCCTCCTCCTCCTCCTCCTCCTCCTCCTCCTCCTCCTCCTCCTCCTCCGCTCCCCCCCCCCCCTTCCTCGTGATCCTCTCCTCGTCCTCATCCTCGTCCTCCTCCGCTCCTCTTTTCCCCTCCCCCATCCTCCTCCTCCTCCTCCTCCTCCCCCTCCTCCTCCTTCCTCCTCCTCCTCCTCCTCCTCCTCCTCTTCCTCTCCTCCCCTCCTCCTCCTCCTCCTCCTCCCTCCTCCTTCTCCTCCTCCTCCTCCTCCTCCTCCTCCTCTTCCCCCTCCTCCCTCCCCTCCTCCGCCTCCTCCGCCTCCTGTTCCTTCTCCTCACCCTCCTTCCTCCTCCTCCTCCTCCTCCTCCTCCTCCTCCTCCTCCTCCTGCTCGCTCTGCCCCCCCCCCCCGCCGAGGCGCCGCGGCTCGCAGAGGGCCTGCGCCCCACGCCGCTCTCTGGCCCGAGCCCGGCGCCGGCGGCGGCCGTGGCGAGGCCCTGCCAGGCCGCGGGGCCCCCTCTCATCGTAGGATCCTCTCATCGTTGGATGTTTTCTTCGGTCGTCGGCTGTTTTCCAGCCTCGGGGTGCTTGCCAGCAGCTGCGCCTCGCCGAAGGCGTTCCGGGGGTGCCCAGACCGTTCCGAACGGCCGCTGGAGACCTGGGCTATGACCCAAAAACCAAGTTCGGCGGCGTGCCTTGGGGGCCTCCTCGTCGTCGTCGTCGTAGGATCCTCTCGTCGGCGAGCTCGATATGGATTTGACATGGATGCGACACGGATGGTTGGCGTGATGAGACAGGCCAGGCCCCCCCAAACATGCAGCATAAGGGAGGAGGAGGAGGAAGAAGAGGAGGAGGAAGACGGCAAGGAGGAGGATGAAGAGGAAGGAGGAGTCGGAGGATGAAGAGGGAAGCCGGAAACGGGATGAGGAGGACGAGGGGGAGGAGGAGGTCACAGTGAGGAGGTCAGAGGGATGCCATAGGGAGGAGGGAGGAGACGGAGGAGCAGGAGGATTAGCAGGAGGAGGAGCAGGAGGAGGAGGAGCAGGAGGAGCAGGAGGAGGAGAAGGAGGAGGAGGAGGAGAAGGAGGAGGAGGAGGAGGAAGAGGCGGAGGAGGAGGAAGAGGAGGAGGAGGGGGGGATGAGCATCAGGAGCAAGAGTAGGAGCAGGAGCAAAAACAGGAGCAGGAACATAACCAGGAGCAGGAGCAGCATGAGCAGCAGGAGGAAGAGGAAGATGAGACATAGCAGCAGGAGGAGGAGGGGGAGGAGCATGAGAAGAGGGAGGAGGAGGAGGAGGAAGAGGAGGAGGAGGAGGTAACGACGCTTGCGATGCGCTTTTGTGCTACAGCGCCTTTTGGCTCAAGGGGCCCGCCGCGCCAGAGTCTCAGGGGTCCTCCGCTTCGAGCAGCTTCCTGGCACCTCGTCCGCGGCCTTCGGAGGGCAATGCCGCCGACGGTGGTGAAGAAGGGCGCGATGAAGACGAAGGGTGCGAAGAAGCAGAAGACCGCGACGAAGCTGGTGAAGAAAAGGGACGTCAAGGGCCTGAGGGCGGCCTTGCGCGAGACCGTCATGAGCAAGGAGGAGTGGCCGTCATGGCAGCCCTTTCCCCCTTCCTCTTCCAATTGTCCTCCTCCTCGTCTGTTATTGTAGTGGCCTTCGGCCAGTGCCGCCGATCCGGGTCGCTCGGTGTTATTCTCCAGACGCGGACATTATGGGCGCACACTCAAACGCACAAATTTCTCGGGTTACCTTCGAAAGGGCGTAGGGATGCAGTTGGGTCAATAGAGCCATCTCGCAACAGTGGTTCTATCAACGGCGGGGTGCTTGCAGTGACCGTGGGGACGGGAAATAATAATGACATGAAAATTCCATACAGGATGCCGATCACTTTGGAAACTCACGATACGTCTTGCACGGAGTCTTGTTACGAAACATGTGGCCTGGACGATGTGGTGCGAGCGGTGGAGGCGAGCCTATCGGCGCAAGGACGCCCTCTTGGGGCGTTTTTTGAGCCATCTTAGGAGCCTGTCAGGGCGTCGTGGGGGCTTCTTGGGGGCTTTCGGAGGCCCTCTTGGAGGCTCTTGGGGCCTCCTGGGGGCCTCGTGGGCTGGAAGGCTCGATTTTTTCCGCTTTTCGCGTCTCTTTTGGGTCCTCTTGGGGCCGTCTTGGGGGCCTGTTGGGCCTTCTTGGGCGGCTCTTGGGCCGCCTTGGGGCCCTCTTGGGCCGTCTTGGGACTGTCTGGGGGCCTCCTGGGCCGCCTTCGAGCGGTCTTGGGGGCCTCTTGGGCCGTCTTGGAGCGTCGGAAAGCAGAAAACAGCGACAACCCCAAAAACATTGCAAAAACAATGGGAATCAACGATTTTTGCCTCTGGAGGCCTCTTGGAGGCCTCTTCAGACGTCTTGGAAGGCTCTTGGGCCGTCTTGGGGCCATCTTGGGCGTGTTCGGGCGATCCTTCGGGGTCTCGGGACTTTCTTAGACCGTCCTCAGAGACTTTTGCGGCCGCGGCCACCCTTCCAGCGCATCCTCGAGATTAGAGCCTTCTGTAAAAGCAGCGCCTCGCATCCGCCGGAAACTCGCACCCCCCCCCCCCATCCCCCCTTCCCCGGCAGAGCCACCCCAGCAACCCCCCCAGAGGCTGAGGCTCAGCCCCGAGGCTGTAGCTGAGACTCCTTGAAACTCACACGCCGGATCGGCGGACTTGCTCTCCTCACCAGGCCTCCTCATCCTCCTCCCCAGCCCTTCTCGACCTGTTCCCATATCCTCTCCTCGTTCCATTTCTCTTCCCCCCCAATCCCTCGTCTCCCTCTCCCTCGTACTCCCATGTGCACTCCTTTCTACTCCCTTCTCATACTCCGTTTGTACTCATTTCTCCTCGTCCTCCTCTTACTCCTCACCCAAACATTCGTTGCTCCTCCTCGTCATTCCCCCTCTGATCCTCCTTGCAGGAGTGGAGGAAGTACCAGACGGACGCCTACAGGAAGAAATGGCCGAAGCCAGATTACATGTCCGACTACCGACCGACCTTCGTGAGGGACGGCGGCGAGGGCGCCTACCGGGACCAGACGTACGAGCTCGTCACCAGGAGGGCAGGGAAGTGGGAGGGAGGCCATCTTGGGCCCGGCTTCGCTGCAGCCCGCTCCGCTTCGCTCCGCGCGGCGGGAGGAGGGACGGGGGATGTGGGAGGCGAGCGACGCGACGGGAGGGAGAGGGAGGCGTGCATTGCAAGGGAAGGGGGGAGCGATGGGAGGGAGGGAGGGAGGGAGGGAGGGGGAGCGGCGAGGAAGAAGGGCGAGGAAGGGGTTGGAGCCTCGTTCCCCCCTCCCCCCTTCCTCCCCGCTCTCGTCGTCGTCCTCCGCCTCCTCCCCCCTCTTGCCCCCCCTTCTCCTGGCCTCCGCACAGATCCGATGTCGCGATTTGTTCAATGCGCGGTCCCTGGAAGTCTCGACCCCTTCCCCAGGACCCGTTTTTCATCCTGAGTCGTTTTGTTGACGGTCCTGGGGCCAGGCGAGGGCCCCTAGAGGCCGAAAGTAGCGAAAAACGTCCGTTGCGTTTTTTTCAATGCGTTGGATCTCTGGGTCCCTCCCCTCTCCTCCAGCCCTCCCTCCCTCGTCGTCGTCCTCCGCCTACTCTCCTCCCCCCTCTTGCCCCCTCCTTCTCCTGGCCTCCCTCCCCATTCAGCCTTCCCTCCTCCTCATCCTTCTCCTCCTCCTCCTCCTCCTCCTCCTCCTCCTCCTCCTCCTCCTCCTCCTCCTCCTCCTCCTCCTCCTCCCTCCGTCCTCCTCCTCCTCCTCCTCCTCCTCCTCCTCCTCCTCCCCTCCTCTCCTCTCCTCTCCTCCTCCTCCTCCTCCTCCTCCCTCCTCCTCCTCCCCCCCCCCCTCCTCCTCCTCCTCCTCTTCCTCCTCCTCCTCCTCCTCCTCCTCCTCCTCCTCTTCCTCCTCCTGCTGCTCCTCCTCCCCGAGGTGGAGCGCGGAGACCAAGATCCGCTACCGCCCGCACGCTAAGGCCCCGGGCTCCAAGAGCCACGTGCGCTACGAGAAGTACTCCAAAGCCAGGACGGTGGCGCAGGCGCCTTCCTGGTCCTCCTCCTCCCCCTCCTCCTCCTCCTCCTCCCTCCTCCTCCTCCTCCTCCTCCGCCTCCTCCCCCTCCTCCCTCCTCCTCCTCCTCCCCTCCTCCTCCTCTCCTCCTCCTCCTCCTCGCCGTCCTCCGCCTCCTCCTGCGCCTCCTCCTCCTCCTCCTCCTCCTCCTCCTCCTCCTCCTCCTCCTCCTCCAAAGCATCAAGAATCAAGACGGAGGCTTTTTTCGCAAATTTCGGCCCCTAGGGGCCTTCGCAGGGCCCCGAGACCGTCAAAAAACGACTCAGGATGAAAAACTGGTCCTGGGGAATGGGTTGAGAGTCCTGGGGACCGCGCATTGAAAAAATCACGACGTCGGATCTATGGGTTCTCTGCCCCCACACCGGGTCACAGACGTCGGGCCGCACCTCGTCTGTACCTCCCCTTTTGAGAGTAGGAGGAGGGAGGGGGGAGGAGGGAGAAGAGGGGACGATGACGATGGATGTGATGACGATGATGCTGCTGATGATGCTGATGATGATGGTGACTGTGATGATGATGGTGATGGTGATGATGGTGATGGTGATGGCGATGGTGATGGTGATGGCGATGGTGATGGTGATGGTGATGGTGATGGTGGTGATGATGTTGATTGTGGTGATGGTGATGGTGATGGTGGTGGTGACGATGACGATGACGATAATGATGCTGATGGTAATGATGGTAATGCTGATGCTCATGATGTTGGTAGTGGTGAATATGATGCTGATGCTGATGTTGATGATGATGCTGATGCTGATGCTGATTCTGATGATGACGGTAGATGTAGTGGTGATGGTTGGGGTGGTATTGGTGGTGGAGGTGGTGGTGTTGGTGATAGTGGTGATGATGCTGATGATTGATGATGATCATAGTGATGATGAGTATGATGATCTTGATGATGGTGATACAAGTGATGATGATGTTGATGTTGCTGATGATGACGACGACGATGCTGATGATGATGCTGGTCATGCTTGTGATGATGATGATGATGATGATGATGATGATGATGATGTGCATGATGACGATGCTGGTGATGATGACAGCGATGAAGATGCTGATGTTGATGCTGCTGATACTGATGATGCCGAGGATGATGCTGATTATGATGATGATGATGAGCATGATGAGCATGATGATGCTGATGATGATGATGCTGGAGGTGGTCATGATGAGGATGTTAATGATGACGATGCGGATGATGATGATGATGAAGAAGATTATGATGATGATGATGATGATGCTGATGATGATGATGATGATGATGATGATGATGATGATGTTGCTGCTGATGATGATGATGATGATGATGATGGCGATGATGCTGATGATGCTGATGCTGATGCTCATGCTGATGCTGATGCTGTTGATGGCGATGATGCTGATGCTGATGCTGCTACTGCTGCTGGTGATGATGACGATGTTGATGACGATGACGATGACGATGATGGTGATGATGAGGGGGAGGAGGATGATCATGATGATGATGATGATGATGATGATGATGATGAAGAAGAAGAAGAAGAGGAAGAAGAAGAAGAAGAAGAAGAGGAGGAGGAGGAGGAGAAGGAGGTGCAGTAGGAGGACAAGGAGAGCGAGGGAGGAAGGAAGGAGAAGGAGGTGCACGATGGGGGGGGGTCAGGGCGAGGTTCGGCCCGGGTGCTCCGAGGTGTACGGGTGGCACGCGGGGGGCAGCTCTCGTGTTGCCGCAGGCCTCGACAATAAATTTGCCCGGCGAAGGGCCCAGCCCTATGCAGGTGCGATTAACGCAATTGTGCGAATCGTCTTCGGTGGAACTCCTCATGGGGCCACAAACACTCGGCATCGCTCGGACGTGTGCATTTTTCCTTCGGCGAGGACCCTCGAGGAGCATTTTTGCTCACCCTGGGGACAAAAAAACACGCGAAACCGAAAAATGCACAGGGAGTGGACGTCCGAGCGATGGCGAGAACGTGCGAGGTCTGTGCCAGCAGTGGTGGGGCGGCCGCGTGTGTACGGTGCCCCTGGGGCCTTCGGTGGAGCTCCCCAGGGGGCCGCGAAACGTGTGAGGAGTGTGCCGCGATGGGAGGGGGTCCGCATGTGGACGGTGCCGCTGGGGCCTTCGGTGGAGCTCCCCAGGGAGCCACGAAACGCCGAGATGGGAGTGGGTCCGCGTGCGTACGGTGCCCCTGGGGCCTTCGGTGGAGCTCCCCATGGGGGCCGCGACGCGTGTGAGGAGTGCGCCGAGATGGGAGGGGGTCCGCATGTGGACGGTGCCGCTGGGGCCTTCGGTGGAGCTCCCCAGGGGTCCGCGAAGCGCCGAGATGGGAGGGGGTTCCGCATGTGGACGGTGCCCCTGGGGCCTTCGGTGGAGCTCCCCATGGGGGCCGCGACGTGTGTGAGGAGTGTGCCGAGATGGGAGGGGGTCCGCTTGTGGACGGTGCCGCTGGGGCCTTCGGTGGAGCTCCCCGTGGGGCTGCCAAACGTGTGAGGAGTGTGCCGGCATGGGCGTTCGGAGGGCAGAGGCAGGGCTGAGAGGAGGCAGGAGGGGGCAGCGAGAGGCAGGAAGGAGCGGACGCGGGGCGCTGTCTCTTCAAAACGAGGACCCGACACCGCAGGATTGGGACAAATATTTGATGACTCAGAAGCGGTCCCGGTCTCCCGTACACATCCGCGCGCCCGGCCCCCCCCCCCCAGCGCCCCCCCCTCCCACCTGGCCCGCCCCCCCCCTCCCGCTCCCCCAAAAATTGCCCGAGCACCCCTGGCACACTGCTACAGCGCTTGCCCAGCCAGCGACACGGCCGACCACCCCCGCGCCACCCGTGCGCCATAAATCCCCGCACGCCCATTGCTGCCGAGCCGGATGCTCCAGAGTAGACTGGGTGTGGGGGGCGTGCGAGGAGGCGTGCTCTGGACCCTCAAGTTTTGACTCATTTCCAGCGCGGTGGCCGCGCATAAGCGCCCTGTCTGAACCCGAAAAACAAATCGCCCAGGGGGGAGATCATCTCCACGAACACAAGAACTTACGATTCCCCAAACAGTTCTTGCACTCACGCGGTTCTTAGTCGTGTTCTGAGGAACTGTAGGGAAGTTGTCGTTCTGGCGGCTCCGTGCTCGCCGTCGCCGCCCCGTCGCCGCCTCGTCGCCGCCCGTCGTCTGTGGGGGATTGTCGGTCTGGCGGCTCTGCGCTCGCTGTCGCAGCCCCGTCGCCACCCGTCGTCTGTGGGGGGTTGTCGGTCTGGCGGCTCCGGGCTCGCTGCCCCGTCGCCGCCTCGTTTGATTATTCGCTTTAGAAAAGAATTTTAATCCACCACCCATCCGAGGCCGGACTTATCCTCCCTGGGGATGTGCAATTTACATGCGGTGTTGCCGCATCGTTCATTCGAAATACAAGGATGTACCGCCCCAGCCAAGCCAGTAACGACCCCTTTCTCATCCTCGTCAAATAATGCTATGTGCGCGCACTCATTTATCACAAACTAGCAGTTCTCAATAGCCCTAACAACACATGGGGCGAAGTGCACACGCGAGCGTTGTCGCGCGCGCGCGTGCGGGAATCCTTCAAACAACCTTAAGTTTCGTCGTGATTTCAGTATTGAGTGTCCCGAATTTCGCGGCATGCTTTTTCAAAACAAGTCTGCGCTCGCGCTCTGACGAATTCTGCGGACAACCATGTTTTTTTCATGCTGCATCATCTTCACCACTTGCAACTGGACGGGCATCTCGCGCCCGCGTGTCGAAATCATCCGAACGCCCTTGCACGCGTGCTGGGGGGGGGGGCACGATCCCTGTCAAGTAACACCATGCGGGCCAGTCGCGCGCGTTGGCTGCGCGCGCATGTCGGAATCCGCCCAAAGCCTTCATCACAGACACGTGGGCCTCATCATCGTCACCGTCGTGATCAGCATCGGCGCCGTGATTGGCCTTGCCGTCGTCAGTTTCGCCATCGTCACCAGCATCGCTGCTATCATCATCGTGTCTGCCGTTGTCGACGTCGACATGATACCGCGACCACCCAGGTCATCGACTCGCAGTAAATTGCCCGCGCGCCGCGCGTCAGTGCGGCCTGCGGGACGCACTGGAAAGTCCCCAGCTGTCAGCGCCACCGCGGCCGCGTCGGTCGCGCCAGACTGGCTCTCCGCTCTTCGTGCGAGCCTGCGCGCGCTACCGCGGCCGCAGCGACGCGCCAGCCAGCGTTAAGCAGTCACCAAACCAAGTTGCGTATGGGTGGGTGGGACGATTGCGCGATTAGTGGAGTTGACAAGCTCGAGTTCGGCAGTGTAAGTTGTACCGCGTATGTTCCCGTTTCTAGAAAGGGGCTCGGATCTATTATGGGGATGTACAGTGCACGTATGATTCCCATCTCACCTAGGACGGCAACCTTGTCCTTTCAGACCTCGTCAAATAAGGTCATGCGCGCGCATTCGTCTATCCCAAATCGTCGGTTTCCCCTATATATAAATAATTTGTATGTGTATATCTATATATATATATATATATATATATAGAAACAGTGACACAACTTCTGTTCGTGCGCTTCGTCGCGTCGCGCGCGCATGCCGGAATCGTTCAATGACTTTCAGTTTCGTGAGGATGTCAAAACCGAGTGCCCCGAACACATCTCAACATATGGTTTCGCAACAGGATGTTTCAAACAAGGTGGGCTTCCTCTTGCGGTTCTTAAGGAAACCTTTTTTTGGTTTTTGAAGCATGCTCATCACCATGCTACCAGACGGGCACTTCGTGCGCGCATGCCGGCATCATTCGAACACACTTGCGTTCGTGCTGGATGAGGGGCACGTTCCCTGTCATGCGGGCCACTCGCGCGCGTCGGCCGCGCGCGCATGTCGGACCCCATTTAAATCTTTGATCACCGGCGCGTGGACACCATCACTGTCACCGGCGTGATCAGCATCGGCGCCGTCATTGGTTTTGCCGTCGTAATTGTGATCATCGTCGCCACCATCGCTGCTGTCATCATAGCATTTGCCGTTGCCGACGACCACCCGAGTCACCGATTCGCACTGAAGTGTGTGCGCGTCAGCGCAGCCTGCGAGACTCACTGGGCAGTTCCGACCGGACGACAGCGCCACCGCGGCCGCGTCGGTCGCGCCAAATTAGCTGGCGGCTCTGTGCGAGAGCCTGTGCGTTAGCGTGGCCGCAGCGGTGCGCCAGCCAGCGTCAAGCAGTCATCGCCATCGCCGCTGCATGGGTTTTGCAACCTTGTGGGTGGGTGGGTGGATGGATTGCGCGAGCAATGGAATTAACAACTTCAAGGTCGGCAGTGCGACTTGCACCGCATATTTTGCAACACGTAGTGTGCACCACATAGATTGCGCCGCGTATGTTGCACCGCACGTATTGCAACACATTCGTTGCCCAACATAGGTCGCAAGACAAGGGCTGCACCACAGAAGTTATACACCATAGATCGCCCTACAGAAGCTGCACAACATTGGTTGCACAACATGTATCGCCCCACGTATATTGCAACACACAAATTGCACCACATACTGCGCACCACATGGGTTGCACCACAAATATTTCACCGCAGATATTACACCACATGTATGGCACCACATAGATTGCTCCACGTGGACCACAGATCACACCACATTGGCTACACCACATGGAATGCACAACATAATTTGCATCATTGCAGTTGCACCACTTACGTTCGTCCAAATAGCTTGCACAACGTAGATCGTTTCCAACACTGTGTGAGAAATCCACGCTGGCTAAAATTATTTGCGCGTAATTCCCAGAGGCAAAGTTTGCACATGGAGGGGGATGATGAGCAGGTGTAAAATATTTGAACGTCTTCGAACATCCTGGATCCGCGTCAATTTGTTAGTGCCCCCTTGGGCCTGGTTCGAAACACGTAGCACAGGGTTTGGGACCCTTGTCGTACAATCGTTTGGCGGTCTCCCGAGGCACTGGCTTTGGGCAGCTGGCCGCTTGACTGGTGCCACGATTACGAGCACGGATTCATACAGGTTCTGGGGCCCGTGCGCGACGAGCCGCTGGACATGAGCCAGCACACCGGGAAGCTCACAGAAGTCGATCAGGCGATTACCGCGTGGCATAGGAACGGACACGGGCTCCCCCTCGAAGCTGTTATCTTCATGTCGGCATCTTTGTCTTCTCCTGGGTGGTTCTCCCCCTCGAAGGGTTTTAGTTGTCCTCCCTCGGCGCGTGGCGACGTCTTTGGGGAGTGTGGCCTCCCCTTCTGGAGCGTCGGTTTCCCCCCCCCACGCCCCCCTCCCATGGCGAAGGCCTCGTCCTGCCACAGTGCCGCTCTCTCCCCTCGAAGGTCAGATGCTTCCCCCCTGATGCTGTGTTTGTTCCTCGATGCTGGGGGGTGCCCGGGACCGAACGGAAGGGGTGCACGGGGGGCGGGGGGGGTGAGGCGGCACAGCCGCCAGCGGCCCATCACCTTTGCGGTGTGCAGGTGTGTCGGTGTGTGCGTGTGTGTGTGTGCGTGTGTGCGTGTGTGCGTGTGTGTGTGCGTGTTCCGTGGCATGCGTGCCGCCATGAGATTGCATCACTTCCTCCTCCTTTCTTCTTCGCCAGGCCGCCGAGCGCACTCCCGCTCGTGGCGTCAGTCCTCCTCCTTCTCCTCCTCCTCCTCCTCCTCCTCCTCCTCCTCTGTCGCCTTCCTCCTCGTCCGCCGCCTCTGTGCCCCCCTCGCTTCTTGCCCCGAGCTCGCGGGGGCCGGACGCACGTGACGCGGCTGGCCGGGGCGGGGCGAGACCAAAGCGTCCCCGCACACCGCTCCAGCGCCCCGGCCCCCGTGCGGTGCGGCCCTCGCGTGTCCGGCGCGTGGCTTCCGGATGCCTCGCGTGTGCAGTCGGGGCCCTGAAGAAGGAACCTTTTTCGTTGGGGAGGGGCTCCGCGTTCCTCAAGTCTCAAGTGTTTCGCAGCTTGCCTCAGGTGTTCCTTATGTTTCGATCGGAAATCGAAGTTTAACTCATGGAGAAAAGGGGCCTCGCTCCTTATTTTGGGTTCCTTAGGTCAAGCCCCCGACTGTACATCAAGCAGTGTGCTTCCGGCTTCCGGTTCCGCACGTCACCACTGTCCGTTTCGGTTCCCGTCACCTCGCTGCCGCACGCCAGCTGCTCACCCGACAGGTGACGGTAGCGAGCAGTGGTGCCCAGAGGGGTTTCGCAATGGTGAGGGGAGTGGGCGCAGGTCGGCCGGTCTGTTCGATCATTCTGCTTGACACGACTTGTTCCCTTTGGGGGGCCTCTTCGGAACTCTTTTGGGGCTGGGGCTTGGCTTATCGGATGCCTCTCAAGGCCGTGCTGGCAGTCTCGGGGTTATCTTGGGGCGGAGGGCTCGACATGTAAGTTCGAGTTCCCCTTATTGGGCCCGTCTTTGAGAGCAATGTTGGGGGCCGTCTTGGGGCCTTTTAGGGGGCCTCTTGGGCTTTCTCTGGGCGATCGCGGGGGCCTCTTGGGCCGTCTGGAAGCGTCGGGAGCCCCAAAAGCCGAGAACGATGCAATGCTGCAAGACCAACGTAACATAACTGTTGTTTGCCTCTTGGGGCCCTCTTGTCGGTCCTCTGGGGCCTTCGTGGAGCGCTTTATTGCTCGCCTCACAAACCAATGTGTTCTACCATGCTGCGTTTCATCATCCACTTAGCCTTGCCTATGGCTTGCCTATAATGGGAGGTCCCATCCCCGAATTAGGCTTCGCCTGCGGGTTTCTTCCTTGCTCGTGAGAGAAGCCAGGATTGCTCCGTTGTCCGGTTGCCTGGCGTTCCCCAGGGCTGCTCGGGGTTGTCGACGTTTCGCCCGTGCAGCAACCGGGGCCTCCCTGGAGGCCAGCGCGTTCGGCGCGCCTATGCCGCCCTCGTGGGGTCGCCCCGCGGCGATGGCAGGCTTCCGCTCCGTGCCTGCTTCGGGTTGCTCGAAGTGGCGTGGGTGCTCGGCTGTCCCCTGGGGCGTTCCCCGGGGTCCCGGGGGCGTTCCCCGGGGTTGCTCGAGGTTGCTGGGGTGCTGGGGGCTGCTCGGGGTTGCTCGGGGTCGCTCGGGGTTGCTCGGGACTGCCCGGGGGTGCCCGCGCTTGCCCGTGCAATGCCAAGCCAGTGCCAAGCAAGGCCAAACAGTGGCAAGCAACGATTCGAAACGGTGCCCGGCAACGCCAAGCCATGCCAAGCCGTGCTTGGCGTTGCATTGCTCAGGGTTGCTTGGTTCACAGGCTCGGAGGCCTGGGACTCGTCATGAGACGCGTCTTGCTCACAATCTCCACTCCGATGCTGCGAACTCCACACGACACGCTGGTCGTTGAAAGTAGGTACTCTTGGGTTCCCAGATTTCGGCGCCTTCCTGTTTCAAGGGTCGAGTGGTTGTCCCTCTTCCCTCGTCTTCGGGGGGCGGGCGGAAACTCATTCCACTTCCAACGCCTTCCTGCTTCATGCTTCTACCCAAGTCTTCCGACAGACGGGCATAGCCACAGCTTGCCAAAATCCACGCGTGCGAGAAGAGTGTTTGATTCCATCTTTTGATGCTTGTACGTCAATTAACACACATCTGCGTGTGAATGCCACTACAGGCTCGGAAAGGTTGTCTCCGAAAGCCGCCACACGCGCCCACGCCGATTCACAGCATTGAGAAGCACAGTTATCGGGTTGGGAGGATGGGGCTGGGAGAAAGGATCACGTGATCAAAATTACAGCGTATGTTGAAGGCGCCTACTACTCAGTCGTACCCTGTATCTTCCCAACCCCTTCCTCCCAGCATGGTAATTGTTTTCCTCAAGCGTGTTGGTGATGTCCACACCCAGTCCGCAAATCATTTTGTAGCGCAGTCGTGCTATATTTGGACCACAACGGGGCTTCATTGGACACAGTACCATGATCTCGGTTTTTCTTGCACCCACCACCAGTGGCACTGGGCCCGAACCAGGCCAAACCAGGCAAATGTTTTGAGGACGTCTCGGGCGGCACGCGCGGCCGCACCAGGCCAAACCAGGGGCCACACCGTGCAGATTTCGAGGAGGCCTCGGGCCGGACGCGAGGCCCGACGAGGCCCACCGAGGGGCCACGCCGGGCAGAGCTTGGCGGCATCCTCGGCAAGAGTCCCCCAGAGCCCGGCTCCAGGCACTCCCAGGCTCCCCCCGCAGGCGGAGGTGGAGGAGGAGGAGGGTTGGAGGAGGAGGAGGAGGAGGAGGAGGAGGAGGAGGAGGAGGAGGAGGGGGAGGAGGAGGAGGAGGAGGAGGAGAATGAGGAGGAGGAGGAGGATTGCTTAGAGTTTTCTCAGGGGGGGGGAGGCGTTTGGACCGCGCGTCCGCTGGGGCGGGTGGGGTTGGGCGCAGACTTACCAGCCTCGAACTTATCCCTATCCCTAAGATTGGCACGCCAAAAAGCGATGACAATCTCAGGGATGCGCCCTCAAAAGATAAGGGAATCTCCAAGATTGGCATCGTGATGAGGAGATGCCCAGCATAGGGATAGGGATATGTTCCAGGCTGGTAACAGATGCCTTCCTTTTGTCTTTCGGGTGTTGTTGGGGCTTCGGTGCGGCGTTCGGAGAAATACGTTCGAGCCTGTAGACTGACAGAGCGGCGGAGCTACGGCTACGATGTGGACCACAGGCTGTCAACTGCCGCTCACACGATGTTGAGACATGAGATGCCATACTTAGAGCAAGCAGCATCGATATGAACGTCAGCATCGCGTATAATTCGCTTGTATCGCGTGTAAACCGTTGGGGACCGGCATCTACATGTAGGGCCATGGAGTTGATCGTCACTGCAACGGGATAGTCAGTGTGTGTGTGTGTGTGTGTGCGTGTGAGCATTTGTCTTGCACGCGCGGTCTGAGACATCAGACCCTGAGTGTTTCCAGGGCTCCTTCTAGTCCTCCAGGGACCTAGGGGCCTGGGGGGAAACACCATTTCAGCAGAAGCACATCCTAGGTTCAGACGGGGGATGAAATAACAGCTCTTCGTCTTGCTCCGCAATCCCCATCTCCCCACAGGAAGGAGCTGGCGAAGCGCCACAACCTCAAACTGGAGGACCTCTACGTCGACAAGGGGGCTGGCGAGAGCATGCTGATGCGCTGCCACCGCCTGGTCGCGGACCGAAAGGCAGGGGAGATCCTCACGCAGGCATCCTCATCCTCCTCGTCTGCTTGCTCCTCTTCCTCCTCTGTTCTTCTGTTCTTCCTCCTCTTCCTCCTCCTCCTTCCCTCTTCCTCCTCTTCCTCCTCCTCCTTCCCTCTTCCTCCTCTTCCTCTGCTTTTGCTCCTCTTCCTCCTCCTTCCCTCCTCCTCCTTCCCTCCTCCTCCTCTTCCTCTGCTTTTGATCCTCTTCCTCCTCTTCCTCCTCCTCCTTCCCTCTCTTCCTCCTCTTCCTCCTCTTCCTCCTCCTCTTCCTCCTCTTCCTCCTCCTCCTCCTTCCCTCCCTCCCCTCTTCTCCTCCTCTGCTTTCTTCTGGGGCGGAGAAGCCAAGGCATGGAGGAGGGGGAGGCAGGTCACGCAGCGGAGGAGGTCGCGGGAGGAGGAGGAGGAGGCGCAAAGTGGACGAGGCGCTGGGGCCAGAACGGTATCGGTGCTCCTCTTCCTCCTCTTCCTCCTCCTCTTCCTCCTCTTCCTCCTCTTCCTCCTCCTCCTCCCCTCTTTTCCTCCTCTGCTCCTCCTGGGCGGAGAGGCGGCGCAAAGTGGACACGAGGCGCTGGGGCCCAGAACGGTACTGTGGTGCGCCCACCAGCTGCACTGGGGAGGACTCTTGGCATCGCTCGGACGTGTGCACGTTTCCCTCGGCCAGGACCCTCGAGGAGCCTCCTCGATGATTTGGCGAAATGACCACGACACCGAACAAAAACACACGAAATGGGCGTCCGAGCGATGGCCAGAGGAGGACTGGGAGGAGGCGTGCTGCGGGCGTTGGTTTGTGATGGCGTCGGCTCTTTGCGCGGCCGGCCACGGGAAAGTGCACAAGCCGCAGGCCGCCGGTGGCCTCGGCCACTGTCACGAGTCCATGTCCGTGGTGCCTGTCGGCGTTCTCGGACAGAACGGCAGCAACAGAGCACGCAGCCAGGGCTGCCGAGGAGCACGGCAAGCATTCCCCAGACAGGAGCAGGTGGTTTCACCCCGCTCAGGGAGCAAACGAAGAGAAACTGGTACGTGCGGTCTGCCAAGTCTCGGTTCAGAACTTGCAGGAGTTCCAGAGACGTTCGATTTCACCGCGCAGGGCCAGAAACAGTAGTGCATCCTGAGGGAGAAGGAGCGCATCATGCCAGGAGGGGATCCGCGTCAAAACCGATGAGAGCAAGGAATGGAGGCACTGGCAAGAAGCAAGCCGCGGGTGGAGGAGGAAGAGGAGGAAGAGGAGGAGGAGGAGGAGGAGGAGGAGGAGGAGGAGGAGGAGGAGGAGGAGGAGGGGGAGGAGGAGTGGGAGGAGGGGGAGGAGGGCCACAGGGGGGGCGGCGACGGAAGCCAACACAGCGAACGTGGAGGACACTGCAAGGAGCCTGCAGAAGCTGACCCTGAACAACATGCAGCATATCAGGGAGCTGATCCACGCCATGGAGGAGTTCTTCCTCATCGACCCCAAGAAGGAGGCGCCTCAGAACGCAATCGATGCCGCCGGAGACTACGGGGCAAAGGTCAGAAAGAGAGGCAAGGGACGTGGACTGGGCCCCCAACACATACACGTGGCAATGACGGTCCTGAGGCAAGGAACCTGAGGTGCTCGCAGCCAGCCGGAGCGAGGAAGCGGGCAAGCGCTCGCTGAATAAACTCGCGGCGCCCATGGACATCATCAGCATGACTGTCGGCATGGTGATGCTCAACGAAATCTTCTTCACGTGCACGGCTTGGGAGAGCTACAGTGGCGACGACGGGAAGGGGGACCTCACTCGGGCAAAGTGAGCTTCGCGACGAATGTGGCGCCGAACCTCGCGGCAAGTCTCCCGCAGACGAAAGCGCCGCAGCCGCTCGTGGAGCTAGCCTATGGGATCGGGGGCAAGAACATCGAGATGATCACGGAACGCATCATGGTGAACGAGGCGGGAGGGGGAAGAGCACCAGCGCGGCGCCCAAGGGGGATCTCGAGAGGGTGGTCGAGCGCCAGCTGACGAAGTTCAGCCACAGGCCGTGTAACCCTGCACAGACGAAGCAGCCTGGAGAGCAGCCGGCGAAACCGAACACAGACATCATAGCAGAGGCTCTGACCAAGGCCCAGAGCACACTCAGCCGGCGAGCAGCAGAAGCAGTGCAGCATCTACTGTCTTCCTGCCACAAATCAGAGGGCAAACAAATAGCCAGCGAAATATGCATGGACCGGTACAGACTGGACAATGTTGAAAACAGTTTGTCGACACAGGAGGACGAATGCAATAACTATGCTAGCTGGCCTTGGGGCACTGGGCTAGAAGAAGGAGGAATTTTGAGGAGCGAAGCCCGCTCATCATTATCCATGGAGCGTGGGTGCCGGAGGGATGCAGCAATATGTGTGGGCACGAGTTGGCTAGGGGAAATCACTAAGATGGAATCACCTCACTGGTGTTATTGAGCTACGATGCCGGCTCGACACCGACGTCCTACGATCTACCTACTTCGAAACTGCTGGGGGGGGGGGCACGGAGCCACGACACGGGTGCATCACAGAGCTGGAAATGGGGGGAGCATGCAGTCACAGCAGACCCAAGTGCGCAAACCGAGTTCTGACACTTCAGGGGGCAGGCCGCTCAGATGAACGGGCATTCCCAAGAGGAGGACCAGCCGAACGCAGAACAGCCAGTCCACACGAGGTGCACCGACCCCACCAGTGCGGCAGTGGAGCGGGGGGCCAAATCGCACAACATGCTGAACGAGAGGCTCAGGGTGATGAGCTTCGACTGTTACTCGCAGACAGAGCACCTGCAACACTTGCTGGTAACGCTCGAAAGTCAGAGGGGCGGGCCCATTTCACTGCTAGCGCCGACCGGCGTCAACAAGGCAAGCAGGAGGGACAAGCTGATTCAGGGGCCTGAGAAGCAGACCGAGACAGGAGAACATGTCTTCGAGCATATCAGCAATGCGTACACCACGCTGGACACAGAAGACGACAGGATTGTTGCGTCCGGGCTTTCGGGCCAGAGCGACGAGGGCGAGAAAGAGCGGGTGTGGGGGGACGGAAGTGCAGAGCGGGCGGTGGCACAAGTGTGGAGACAGCCCGGCGGTGTGTATGGTCTGGCGGCTCTGGCAGCGGGTCTGGCAGCGCCCTGGCACCTACGGGTGCCGCGGGCAGTGTAGAGACAGCTGTAGAGACAGCCAGGCGGTGCGTGTGGTCTGGCGGGTCTGTCGCAGCTTTTTAAAAACGCTACGCACGGAACCAGTAGGCCCCAGAAAAAAGAGGCCCCAACGGCCCCCCCTCCTCCTCCTCCTCCTCCTCCTCCTCCTCCTCCTCCTCCTCCTCCTCCTCCTCCTCCTCCTCCTCCTCCTCCTCCTCCTCCTCTCCTCCTCCTCCTCCTCCTCCGGCGCACTGTAGCATACCTTCGCGCTTCGCTGGGGCAAAGAATTCCAGCGTACGCTTCCGAGGCACTGCAGGGGAGCGTCTGCGCGAACCCCGTTATAATGCACATGTGTTTCACGTAGCCAATTTTCCTGCCGATGCGCCGTTCAGGCGCGGCTCTGTGTGTGTGAACGGCCCCTTGAAGAAAGACCCAGCCACCAGTGGCCAACGGAGCAGAATGGCAAACACGCAAACAACAGCAGTAGTACGGGGCCCGAGGAAAGCACCCCAAGGAGCAGCCCCACCACTCACAGCGATGAGCGCTGGCAGTGTCTGCGCGCAGATTGCGCCCGGCTGCGCGGCTTCGCTGGGCTGGCCGCCACGGAAACGGCAACGATCATGATCTGGCACGCGGTGCACTATCATAAGCAAGAGGCAACGCAGCTCAAGAGCACGTTGAAAGCGAGCCATGACAACCCAGCGCACACCATGTCAAGACCCAGTTGCAGATTCAGGTGCAGACTCATCGAGACGCTAATGAAACACATCGGGCCGTGCCAGAGCGTGATGGGAGCCATCAGCGTCATGTTAGACTATTCCAGCGGACCGATGAACGCGATCACGCACGGACGCGGGGAGATTGACCATCGCTCGTGGGATGAGGAGGGAGAGGAGACCAAGAAAGGGAACGGCTCGCGATAGGGATGCTTGCGCCAACACGTCACCGAACTCCTTCTTTTCTGTCTACAAGACCCGATTCACCTCCCCCTGCCAGCTGTCCCCCCTTCTTTTCGGGGTCGGCGAAGGGGGAGGAGGAGGAGGAGGAGGAGGAGGAGGAGGAGGAGGAAGAGGAGGAGGAGGAGGAGGAGGAGGAGGAGGAAGGAGGAGGAGGAGGAGGAGGACAGGAGGAGGAGTAGAGGAGGAGGAGAGGAGGAGGAGGAGGAGGAGGACGAGGGAGGAGGAGGAGGAGGAGGAGGAGGAGGAGGAGGAGGAGGGAGGAGGAGGAGGAGGAAGGAGGAGGAGGAGGAGGAGGAGGAGGAGAGGGAGGAGGAGGAGGAGGAGGAGGAGGAGGAGGAGGGAGGAGGAGGAGGAGGAGGAGGGGAGGAGGAGGAGGAGGAGGAGGAGGAGGAGGAGGAGGAGGAGGAGGAGGAGGAGGGAGGAGGAGGATAAGGGAGGAGAGGAGGAGGAGCGAAGGAGGAGGAGGAGGGGGAGGATAAGGAGGAGGAGAGGAGGAGGAGGAGGAGGAGGGGAGGAGGAGGAGGAGGAGGAGGAGGAGGAGGAGGAGGAGGAGGAGGAGGAGGAGGAGGAGGAGGAGGGGAGGAGGAGGAGGAGGAGGAGGAGGAGGAGGAGGAGGAGGAGGAGGAGGAGGAGGAGGAGGAGGAGGAGGAGGAGGAGGAGGAGGAGGAGGAGGAGGAGGAGGAGGAGGAGGAGGAGGAGGAGGAGAGAGGGAGGAGGAGGAGGAGGAGGAGAGGAGGAGGAGGAGGAGGAGGAGGAGGAGGAGGAGGAGGAGAGGGAGGAGGAGGGAGGAGGAGGAGGAGGAGGGAGGAGGAGGGAGGAGGAGGAGGAGGAGGAGGAGGAGGAGGAGGAGTAGGAGGAGGGCGCAGCCGAGGCAGGGTTTTCGGGGTGGCTGGGCCACGGGCGTCGCGAAGCGCGCGCCAAGATTGCAGCCCACCCCCCGGGATCCCGTGGGGTGGGGTGGGGGATGGGGGGGGCGGGATGCGCGCGCAGCCGCATCTGCAGTCCCCTGTCCGCGCGAGCACGGGCCCCCCCCGGACGGCCCCCCCCGTGGACCGGCCGCCCAAGGGGGGGGGGCAGCTCCCTTCGCTCCCTGCACTGCCCTGCCGGGTCTCGCAGCGCCCGCGGAGGGCCTCGCCGTGCTGCCCCCGCTCTGCCAGGAATCCTGAGAGCCGACGTGGCGGCGACAGGAAAGCCTCATGGAAAAGCACGGCCAGAGCCCCGCACCTCGTCTTCCCACGCCGGAAAGGAAGACGTATAGTACTAGTATGCCCAGTTGTGCGTCCTAGGAAAACCCGGTCCGGGGGAAGTGGCCGAGAGCTCGGGGGCCCGCGCCTCGAAGACACCAAGACTCAGGCGATCGCAAACTTGGATTGAGGGGGCGTGGATTAGCGACGGGTCCCCTCTCCAAGGGCAATCGCGGATTTCCGCCGCTGAGCGAGGCGGCGCCGGCCGCATCTTGGGGAGGGCACCTCCCCCGAGCCCTGGATTAGGCGACTGCGCGCCACATCCATGGATCGCTGATCCATGTCTGCGCGCCCCTGAAAGGCGCCGGACGTCCAGGACCCCTCCTCCTCCTCCTCCTCCTCCTCCTCCTCCTCCTCCTCCTCCTCCTCCCGCTCCTCTCCTCCTCCTCCTCCTCCTCCTCCTCCTCCTCCTCCTCAGTCCTCTTCTCCTCTCCACTCTCCCCCCCCCCTCCTCCTCCTCCTCCCCCCGTCCTCCTCCTCATCCTCCTTCTTCCTCCTCCTCCTCCTCCTCCTCCTCCTCCTCCACCTCCCCCTCCTCCTCCTCCTCCTCCCGCTCTCCCCCTGTATCTAGCCCCTCCCACTTGGGCTGCGCTCGAGCCCTCCTCCCCGACGGAGGCCCACCGCAAGAGGCAGACGGTCAGCGACGAAGAGGTCGAGAGCGTCCTCTCGTCGTGGGCCTTTGCGAGGAACGCCAACAGGACCAACGTCATTCCTAACGGCCAGGATCGAACAACACCAACAACGTTGCATAAACATGCAGCTAGAACCCATGCCAAGAAACACCCTGCGTGCCTCCAGGGTGCCCTGGGTTTCTTGGTTTTCGATGGTTTTGCGATCGAGAGCGTGACGTCCCCACGCCAAAGCTCAATGCACGTCCCGGGGTAGCAGGGTTGGGTCTCTTGTGAAGGTTCCTTGTGGTCGACTTCCTACTGCACTTCCTCGGCGCTCCGCGCGGATCTCCTGGGTCGGCGCACGGGCCCACCTGGTGGGGCTGCCCTGGCGCGCTCCCGGGGGGTCCCGCGCCGATCCAAGAGATTCGCGCGGACCTCAGAGGCATGATGTCCACGCCGTGCTGTTTGGTTCAGAATGGATGCTCGTCAGGGGGCATTGCAGGCTGGCCTACGCCCCCAGCGCTGCAGGATGCCAAAACATGTAAGATTGACGCGCAACTCCTTCGGAATTGTTGTCGCTTCGCGAATCCCCACCAGCCCATCCAGAAACGATGCCCAGAGGAATTGCCTCGATCAGAGAAGTGGGCAGCACACAGAGGAAGCCATTATGAGACATCTTGGGATATCTTGAGCCATCTTGGAGGTCATTTTGGGCTCTCCCAGACGCTCTTGGAGTCATCTTAATCCGTGCCCCCCCCCAAGAGGCCTCCATGTGGCTAAAACCTGTGTAGAATCAATGATTAGGCATTCTCGCCGAGGCCTCTTGGAGCATCTTGGGTGCATCTGGGGGGGCTCTTGGGGCCTCTTGGGGGTCTCTTGGGGGCCTCCGGGGGGCCTCTTGGGGGCCTCTTGGGGCCATCTTGGGGCCATCTTGGGACCTCTTGGGGCTTCCTGGGCGCTTCTTGGGGCCATCTTGGAGGAGATCGATCAAACAAGAGGGGGGGTTTAATTAGCGTCCCCCCTCGGAAGCCCCTAAAATCGCCTCTTGGACCCCTCTTGGAACGCTCTTGGAGTGCTCTTGGGCGCTCTTGGGGCCGTCTTGGGGCTCTTTTGGGGCTCTCTTGGGGCCCTCTTGGGCCATCTTGGAACCATCTCCAGGCCTCGGATGGCCATCGGAAGCGAAAAGGCGAGAAAGCAAAAATCATTGATTTTCCTTAGGTTTTGGGACGATTTTGGCCTCTTCGGGGCCTCCTTGGGGAGCTGTTTGGCCACTTGGAGTTATCTTGGGGCCGTCTTTGGGCTTCTTGGAACCATCTTAGGAGCCATCTCGAGCGATCTTGCGCTATCTTGAGCCATCTTGGAGCTCATCTTGGGTTCTCTGAGGCGCTCTTGGAGCCGTCTTGGGCCATCTGGGACGCTCTAACTACCCGCGGCCCCCCCCGTCCAGGTCCAGGGGAGGGGGTAGGGGGAGGGGTAAACCCCTCCCCAAGGGGGAAGAGGGAGGGGTGGAAGAGGATCTGCTCTAGACCACCTACGCCCAGAGGGCTGGTGGGATTCGGCGGCTATTTGGGGGGCCATGGTGGCTCCAAGGGATGGTCCTAGAGGCATGATGTCCACGCCGTGTTGCTGTCCCCCCGCAGGAGTGGGTGTGGTCAGACACGCTCGGCCTCATCCGCGATCGCATCGGCGACATCCACCTGACTGGGCCGACCGCTCGGTGTCCCGGGCCGGCCCCTCCTGGGCCGCAGGGCTCACAGGTTGGGTCTTCGAGCCGGACGAAAGGGGGGGATTGGGAAAGGGGGGGTTACGAAATCTGCTGCATGCAGCTGGTTTCGGCCCCACCGAGGGGCCCATTCCTCGACACACAGCCGCCCCCGGCGCCGGGAGGCGCCGGGAAAATCAGCTACGGGAGCTGATTCTCAAACCCCCCCTTCGCTATCCCCCCCTTTCGCCCGGCCCGAGGGTTCCGGGCCGCGCCGCCGCGCGTCGCCGAGGCATCGTGGACTCCTCAGCGGTGCGGTGTGATCGCGTGCTCCATAGATGCTCTGGCGTAACCCCCGCCAGCGCATCCCCGGCGCGAGGCCCGGGCGAGTTGCCCTGGTCAGGAATGTGGAGGGTCATGCAGTGGGAGAAGGGTCTGGGAGAGCGGTCGTTCCCCAGGAGTGGGATAATGGAGGAGGAGGAGGAGGAGGAGGAGGAGGAGGACCACTGGCGCACCAGCGAGTGCCCAATGAACACCTGGAGCACACTGATGTCCATCAGGCCGCCGTCCCAGACTCGGGGCGGCTGCGCCCCTCTCGAAACCGCCGCCCGCACAGGCCACCCTTGGGCCTGAAAGGGGCTGGGGGAGGGGGGAGCATGATGAGGATGATCGGGAGGAGGAGGAGGAGGAGGAGGAGGATGAGGAAGAGGGGGCGAAGGAGGAGGATGAGGAGGAGGATGGAAGGGTGAGGCGGAGGGGAACCGAGTGGGGAGGAGGAGGAGAAGGAGGAGGGGACGGAGGAGGAGTCGGAGTAGGAGTAGGAGGAGGAGGAGGAGCAGGAGGAGGCGGAGGGAGGAAGGGATAATGATGATGATGAGATGCTGATGATGATTATGATGATTATGATGATGATGATGATGATGATTGATGATGGTGGTGATGGTGATGGTGATGGTGAGATGATGAGGAGGAGGAGGATGAGTAGGAGGAGGAAGAAGGATGAGGAGGCAGGGGCTGATGATGTCGATGACGATGTTGATGATGATGCTGATGATGGAGATGATGATGATGATGCTGATGCTGATGATGAAGATGATGACGATGATGATGCTGCTGATGATGATGATGATGATGATGATTCTGATGATGATGATGATGATGATGATGATGATGATGATGATGATGATGATGATGATGATGATGATGATGATGATGATGATGATGATGATGATGATGATGATGATGATAAGGAGGAGGAGGAGGAGGAGGAGGAGGAGGAGGAGGAGGAGGAGGACGCGATGGAGCGAATGGAGGAGGATTCCTGGGGGCTCCGTGGAGGCGCCCTGGGGCCTCTTCGGAGCCTATTGGGGGCCTCCAGGGGCTTCCTGGGGGCTTCCGGAGGGCGTCTTGGATGCCTCTTGGGGCCTCCTGAGAGCTTCTCGGGGGCGAGGGCTCGAGATGTCCGTTCGGGCCCCCCGTCTGGGCACTCTCTTGGAGACGTCTTGGGTGCCTCTTGACCTGTCTTGGAGGCGTCTCGGGCCGTCTTGGGGCCTCTTGGGTCGATGATGTTAGGCCGTCTTGGGGCGACCTTGGGGGCCTCCTGGGGCCGTCTGGGAGCGATGGGAAGCGGAAGAGGAGAGAACGCCAATGTCTTTCAAAAAACCTAAGGGGCATTGATAAATTTTGCCTTTTGGGGTCTTCTTGCGAATGCTCCTGGTGGCCTCTTGGCGCATCTTGCAGGGCTCATTGGCTGTCTGGAGGCCGTCAAGGCGTCTTGGACAGATCGTTCGGCGATTCGGGGCCCTCTTCGTCTGTCTTGGGGGCCTCTTCGGGCATTCTTGGCCCATCCTGGGGCCTTGTTGGGACCCAGGACCCCCCGGTGGAGAGCCGCATCTGGGTGGCGACCCCCTCCAGGACCCCTCCAGCCCACCATCCACCCCCCGACGGGGGAGGGAGCAAAGGGAAGGGGCGCCCTTCCCTTCGACTAAATTTCGTCGTTGCTCAACTTCGCTTTGGCTGGCGCGCTTGAGGAAGAGGGCCCAGGAAAAGGGGCGGAGCGGCGACGGGCCTGGGGAAACGGGGGCGGGAGAGGGGACGACAGAGACGACGATGAACGAACGACGGAGACGACGACCCGAACGGACAAGCCCCTCACACGCGCCGAAAGCGTCGGCGGATTTTACCGCAAAGCGCATCTTGCATTGTTTTTCGCCAGGCATAACAGGGGGGGGTGGGCGGTGGGGAATGATCTCGGGTTTGTCGCTGGTCGGGTAGAAGAGAGGGTTCGCATGATTTTGGAGCAGCGATCGAGCTCCCCTCCCAGGCGCTAACTGTTCCCACCCGCTCTCCCAACACACAAGTAGTACCCGCTCTCCCAACACATCGGTCGTCGTTGGATGGACAGCTACTGGGGACCAGTCTAGACCCCAGGTGCGCGACGCTGGGGTGAGGTGCGCCACGAGCGCCATGCGCGCCACGCGTACTAGGCGCGCCAGGCGCCCCTGGTGCCCAAGCGTGCCAGGCGCCACGTGCTCCAGCCGCGCCAGGTGCGCCACATTCGAGGGACGCGCAGAGTGTGCCAGGCGCGCCGGCGCATATCGGGAAACATGTGGCCCCAAAACTATCCTTGTCGAAAGCCAGTGCCAAAACGCGGCGGAGTGACCATCATGATGCTTCGTGAGCCTGCACACAGCAGGCAATATGCCCGCACCCCCCTCGCTCCCGTCAAAAACGAAGGCAAAAAGTCCTGGGTGCCCGCGCATGATCCAGTTCTTGCCGCGAAGTGCAGTCTGTATTTGTTTCTGACAGGGACGGTGGCCCTGCGCACAGCAGGCCATATGCCCCCCGCCGCCCCTGTCAGAAAGCAGTACAACTTGCTCGAGCCCCCCCCCCTTCGCCCCCCGAACATGGCCCATAATTCTTTCGCAATGCATTTTGACAGGGGGGGCGGGGGGAGGAGGTCGTCATTGGCCCTAGGGGGGCTGGGTATACCTATACGACCACCCTTCGGGTGATGAGGAGGTTCGGGGGGGGAGGAACCAACGTCTCACTCGATCGGTCTCACTATCGATCTCACTCGATCGATCTCACAATCGATCTCACTCGGTCTATTTCATTCGATCGATCTCACAAACGATCTGACTATCGATCTCACAATCGATCTCACTATCGATCTCACTACCGATCTCACAATCGATCTCACATTCGGTCTCACGATCGGTCTCATTATCGATAACACAATCGTTCTCACAATCAACGTCATCATCATCAACATCATCGTCATCAATGTCATCAAAATCACCATCATCATCGGGACAC